ACCCAAGTCGAAATTTTGATTCTATATAGACCCTTCAAATTCTGCCGAACTTAAGTCAATGCAGAGTTTCGAGATGACAAGCAATTGATTTGTCTTGATGCTGCAGATAGGTGTTTACTGACGTTGTTTCCATATTAAAAAAACTCAAAGAATTTATGAATTATATATATATATATATATATATATATATATATATATATATATATATATATATATATTTAGGGATTGTACTGTCTATATCTCAAAAATATATCGTATATAATGAAGATTTTGAAAAATTCACAGATTAATCAATATTGTGTCTAAAAGTAATTATAAACAATTTGACATTGATTCAGAGTCTGAATCAAAAGTTATCCATTTTGAAGTGTAAGCTCCACAAACATAATAATATCAAATCAAATGACGGTTTAATGATGCATTAATGATGTCTCTAATCAATGATACATCAATAATACATCCTTTAACGTCATCATGTTATTTGGAAACGATCTACTCCCCTCACTGCCTCTCTTCGAACATTGTACTCCACTTGAACGTATTATTACCCTCCCCTATTGCTTAAATTTTGCACTCGGCAGAGCGGCTTTTTGTTTTACCGCTTAGATTTATATGTCCACTCTTTTTATACATGTCCCTACGTATTGCACATCAGTTATTAATATTATTATCAGTTGCGAGATTTATATTTTATTTTAAGACCGGTATTCATAGAGTTGCAAATTATATAAGATCTTTGAGAACATAATTAATTACAAACTCGTATTCATAAGCCATTAATTAGCTTTTGATTAATATTTCTTGAATGGAATAATATAATAAATGTAAGTACAGATTGAGACTATTAATTAGAAATGAATAAAGTTATAATTATATGACAAATGGTGGCAATCTATGAATACCGGTCTAAATTTCGACTTAAATATTTCTTTAATCTCGATAAGTTTCTAAAACATCCTTTAGAAACAGAAACTTCCTGTATAATAAGTGATTTAGCGTACCTCAAAAATATATGATGAATCGCTGCTTGCGTCCTCTGTTCTCCGTCCTGACTTCTCGACTCAGCATCCTGGCTGCTCCATTTTACTGGCACTAACACTCACACTACACTGACACTGACACTCGCGTAGACACGATTCAATCGAAGATACATGTGTTAAATAACGCGATGTCGACGAGAAACTAATTAAAAGTATCTCAAAAGACGAAATAGTTTAATTATCTGAGAGGAACAATAAATAATGTAACGACACATATAGTCTGTGGTATGTGCGTCGCTCACCGGCCCGGAACTGAATGAAAAAATAAAGACAAGTCCGCGACGCACACAGATATAGTTAACCGCCTTCAAGGTCCCGAATGTTTTGATTGTACAAAGGAACAACAGATAACGCACCGACACACATAGTACGTGGTATGTACGTCGCTCGCCGGCCCGCGACTAAACGGAAAAATCCGGAAAAGTCCGCAAAGCACAGAGGTCAATTTGACCGCCTTGGAATAGTGGAAGTTTTGACTGTTGGTCGCTGGGCGCTTATTGATGAGCGACGGTTGTTTGCGATGGGATAAGATGAGTTTACACTTTTTGTCAATATTGTTCTAATGTTCTCGTATATCGCACACTTTTTTTTGTAATCGAGTGTTACATGTTGCGCTTTGAGTAAAATGTTATAAGCGCTTAGGAAAAGAGTCGAATAAAACTCTAACGCGATAAAAACGGACAAAACGAAATAAAAATTCTATTTGTCCAACATTATATTAATATGTTGAGTAACACATTAAAAGATGCCGATACTTTCGAGACTTCTAGCAGATTCTAAATTTCGATTCGAGAAATTCTACATTGTGTCGAACTTATGCAAACTAATTCATCACTATTTTAAAACTTGATTTTTGCAATGATCAGATTCTATCTAAGTAATAATCGACAACTGATTTTGATGATGGTTACTCTTACTTAGATGCACGTAAAATTAATAGTGCAAGGATGGCAGATATTATTGTGGGCAAATATTATTCTAAGAAGTAAAAGCATTCTTTGCCTGCAATATTTCGTGCGAAGGTTCACACTTTCACCCGCACAATGTGCAAGATATCTGCATTTGAAAAGAATCGAATACACAAAATATTTTCTCGGCATACGCGCCTTGAATTCCAGTGGAATCTCTCTATCCTGGGAATCTCTATTGACTAGAGTAAGGACCCCGATAAACTCGGTACTTCGTTTCGCTACTTCTTTCAAACCGATTCTAATGCGAGCTTTAGCAGTGACTCGCACGACACAAAAGAGAAAAATATTTGTCCGATACAGGAAGAGACAAAAGAAGGTTCCATAAGAGCCATTCGCGGTGATCGTTCTAACGTTAACGGGTGCAGTCATCCAAATACAGAAGTCCATTTCGCGACACCCGAGAGGACAATGTGGTTCTCTCGTAGAGTATGCAGAATGTTGTTATGCGAATGATCTCAAATGCGGTTACATTAACGTCCACTGTATTGCTACGTATATCGTAAACTTCTGTCTAATGTTGGTGAAGTGGCAATATTAGTAATTATCCACTCTCGGTTTCGTAAGTAGAGGAAAATATATTAAATCATGCAATTATTTATGTATGAATTACGAGTGCTCGCACATTCGTAAAAAGTACTTTATAAATTGAAGAATTTTGTGCTTGAATTTAGTGAGAGATTTTAACGATTTAGTCGTAAACAAAAAAGAGTAAAAGCTCGTGAAGCATGAATATACGATCCGAACATTATTAAGACAATTTCCGCCCTCGGGATCGTGTAAAAACTACTAATTGGCCTCGTCTAATTATCACCGACTTTCTCGCGGGTGAGTGACGGAGATTGATTCGGTGCCGAATGAGCTTCGTTCCCCTGAGAATTCTGAATGAAACGAAGATAAATTCACGTGTCCATGGACGAATTATGATGAAACGCAATATTCTCGTATTATCGTGTAACATCTCGAAAAGATACAGAAAAGACGATGTAAGAAACTATATGTTAAATTATCACATAAGAGAGCTGGTATAGTGGCATTTAACATTTTGACAAAATTTCCCTCACAAATATAGTGTATCTATGAAAAGAAGTTTTCAATTTAGTATAATCATGCAATCGGTTTCCGTAGTAAAGAAAGGAGAAAAAACACTTCTTCCGATGGAAGAAAGCCTCTGCAACAGCCACCTACTGAAGAAATAGAGCTGGAAAATTGAAGTCACCAAAGGAAGACCGTTTCGAGAGATTAAAGTCGGATTACTTCGAGATGGATTAGTCGTAATAAAGCTAACCGGATGATGTAGAAAAATGTATCATTTTGAAGAACATTTCATTTGCCAGGCCCGTAAAACAGACAAAAAGACGGCAGCTTCGTCGAGCAAAGTTAATTACCGGAGTCATGAAAACGGCCCCGAATGTAAAGAACGGTGAATCGGCGAACCGCGTTCGCGTAAAGCGATTTTCGGACGAAATGCTTTCGCCTGAGCTGGCTTGAAATGTGAGAGTTGCGTTCTCGGAATTCTCTAATGAACGGTTATAAAGAGAAAAGCAAATTAGCACGCAGTCAATTACATTTTGCTTTTTGCATAGTTTTGCGAAAGCGTCTGTTTACAACGGCGAACATTCAAGTTCGGATCTGCAAATAGATCAATGCGAGAGAGAAAGCATTTGAAGCGTTGCATTCGTCGCGCTTACTCAGCGCTAATTGCTGCGACTTTTACCACTCCTGACATGATTTCTGAACAAACAAAAAACGAGCACGACTTACTCGATAGCGGATCGTTCGCCGGATAATAAGGACAATTGTAAATATTTATTTTCTTTTCTCGTTGGCGCGGTCTCACATTCTCTTGTAAATTGGACTTGCATGATCTTTAATGATCGCTATGGCAACGTATTCTACTTCAGAACTAAAATGGTGGGAAAATGAAATATCCACTATGCAGATTTGATCCTCGTGATGAAACTTAATGAAGCATGATCATGTTAGTTACAGTTAATTGCTTTAATCACTTCGCATTGATCATATTTGAGCGTAGTTAATGTTGTTTATTTTTCACGTCATGTCGACGTTTAATTTACGGGAACGTTACTCTCCCCGAAATACTTCTTGATATCGCGAGCGTGGTTTTGGCCGTGGTAATTATTCGAATTTAATTAAAACTCGCGTTCGAAGTGAGCTGCGCTGTGGTGAAGTCATTAATTAAATTTAAAGGAGAATTGCTATCTTATCGTTGTATGTATATGTAGGTATGTACGACAGATACAGACGAGAGGTCGTTATTGCAAGTTCACGAACTCGGTTATAACTTTCAATGAATTCAGTTTCTTTTAGCAGCGTCGGAATTTTCTTTTCGGATTCGGCCGCGTTACCGGCTTCATCCCGTTCTTGGTACGGACGCGCTTCCCCTGAGAACCAAGCCCGCTATTCAAGCATATAATGTAATTTTCAGATAAAATTCCGTACTTACACCATCTCCGGCAACATAGCGGGCAATTAATGAACGAGTGGAAATTTGCGTTGGCTTAAAAGTTGGAAAATGAAATACGTCTCGTAAGAAAATGAATCGACGAACGGCACAGCTTTGATTAATTTTGAGCCAGCAGCTCTCCCTTTGATTATACAATTGCTGAAATTTAATCATATAAATTAGTAAATTTCACAGTTAATTAATCAAAACTCTCTGTTTTCTCTCTTTGTGCTTCAAATTACTTTCTCTACAATTTTTATTTTTCCCATAACGATCGGTTTCATTAACGGTAGTGATAATTACAATGTTTTCTCATTCGCGTCCGCTTTTTGGAGCGGATACTGTATCCTGATAATGCAAATTATTAATGCAATAATTTTGAAAATAAAGCCTTTCAAAGTATTTATCAGCACATGAATAATGCCAAGTATTAATAATTCATGATGCCGCAACATTAAAGCGAGCATTAAACATCAGATAAAAAAGAATAACGTTTAAAGAAAATATTTATTTAAATTGTTGCAGGAGCGATCTTTACCGAGGATCAAAAGGATAGCCCGTCGGAATTAGCGTTTAAGTACGCCATTTACAAGATCAACAAGGATAAGACTCTCTTAGCGAACACGACGTTGGTTTACGACATTCAATATGTGCCTAAAGACGATTCGTTTCACACGTCTAAAAAAGGTAGGAAAATATTCAACTTATTATAAATTCGTGTGTGTATATGTGTGTAAATAAAAAAAAGAGAGAGAGAATTAATGTTATAGTTAAAAAAAATTAAGTCATTTGCATAAATATCGATTTGTTATATTCGTTTTATCAATCATAATTCATATCAATTCATTTCTCTATATCTCGCGAATATCTCGATATCTCACAATAAGGCATGAGTTCGCTTTATTTAATAAAAACTGAATGGTCTCCGAAGTAAGTAGTTTTAGTAAGTAACAAAACCGACAGCCTACCTTTACGCTTCAATGTTTCGTACCATCGCGAACAACAGTATTTATCAAGAAATTGTTGTTTTTTTCTCCTCTCTGTAACTATTACGATATATTTAATCTAGAGCATATTTAAATTAACTCTACGTAGTTGAGTGAAAATTAATGAAAGATAAAGTAATAATGACTATTTATAGCAACAGAGAGTAATTTGTTATAATATTAAGTCGTAGCTCATAACTCACGCTTACGAAATGCAACGCAACATGACATTTACGAGGCGATGACAGTGACTAATAACGTAAATAACTTAATAGCTGATTATCGCAGCATCATTTATTTTACAAGCATGCAACAGTTACCCAATATTAAATGTTTCTTATTATGCTTATATATGCTCAATGTTCTACTTTTATTATCGATACATAAGATACATGGATATTATATCAATTAATACTCACATCTGAACAGTTTTGTATTGTCAGTATATCAAAATGATCGAGTGATAAACTTCAAAATTTTCCGTCTAATTTTACTCTTTGGTTTAACTCTCGACGTGATTTTCCAATCATGATTTTCAATAATTTTTAACTATTTATGCATTATTTTTCATTAATAAAAAGTGCAATAATCTGGTCAAAGATATCCTATATAACCTCCATATAGCTTGTATTAGGACCTTAACTTAGTTTCCGCCCGCAAATGTTAGATGGCAATGCAAACAGTTCTAGTAGTCATTACTAAC